TGTGAACAGATATAATTAAAAAGTTTCTGCTCTTTATGAATGTTCTTTTATACTGCAACGTGCACACACAAGGAGTTCTCTTCCGCAGCGTTTAATAGCTTAGGAAATTCCTTGGATAGGAACAAACGCTAGATTTCGCCCATTTTTGCCTTTATTTTCTCCCAGTATTCTGACCTGAACGAAATTAAATTCTAGTAAACAACATTTTGCGCCTCAGGCCCACCCAACGAGCTACATAAACAACCTCAAGTGTGCGTTAAATCCTCCGATCCCCAACCTTTCATCGGATATGTAATCTACTGTACTGATACAAATTTTGTGTATGCGTCAAATCGTGTACAAAATGTCGTTTTTCCTAACAGGAGGAGCAGGAAAGTTAATCTGAAGGCCTCGGGATTTCGCTCAGTAGAACTTAACAACAAGTGTGATGCCAAACAGACGTCAAAGGTGTTTAAGATATCTCATAATAGTGCATCCACCAAAGTCTTCGGAACCTTCGTGCGCCCGCAACTGGAGTCCGCTATTCAAGCTTTGAGACCCTGGGCGGCGAAAGATATTAACACCTTCAAAAAGGACCAAAGACGTGCAACCAAATTGGTCATTGGACAGGGCTCTCTTATGAAACAAGGCTGTCAAATCTCAATCTGTTTCCCTTTCGCTACAGACAGCTTCAGGGGACCTGATACTAACATTCCGCATAATTCGCGTTCAGGACTGCCGTGTTGTATCAGATTCCTTTGCGTTAGCAACAACAACGAACTTGAGAGGTCATCCTCTTAAATGATGTGACAGAGGGCAGGTTGGATGCTTCCAAAAGGATGGTCGAAGCATGGAATACTCTTCCTCTGGATATCGCTATGTCAGAATCCCTTGAGGTATTTAGGCTGAAGTTGGATCGATATGGCAGTGCGCGCTACAATATGAACTGACCGCCGCGACTATTTACAATTATAATACTACTTTTTATATTTTAGTACTTTTCGTTTTATAGCATAACGTTTTACGGTAAGGAGTGTTCCACTTCCATCAACTCGTCTACTAATGGCGAAAATCGCAATACTTCTACTAATAATACTAGCTATATTTCGGTATCATTTATATATGCTATTTAACCCAGGAGACCCTATGGCTTACACTCTCCCACCATTAAGCCTATGCGACGATCCGCGCGGTCTTCCATATTTGGCTATCTGCGTACCATGGTGATACCAACAGTCAGCCCTGGTTCGACTTGCAACGGACTCCCGACGACCTGGGCGGATGTTTATGTTTTTTTCAACCTTGTCGGCTGAATCTACAATCAGCAAGGAAGTATCAGGCCGCATCTTCCGCACTCAGTGATGATCCCGGTGACCTCTGCAATGCCCTCCCCCTCCCGTTGGACCCTCCCCCAAAAGTGGACATTTTTTCTCCTAAACCACACACCCCATCAGATCGTCTCCCCCATATGAGCGCCAGTTTTTCTCCTAAAAATTCCCAAGGAGTTTTTTCACTGTCTACTGTTTTAAAAAAACCATGTTCCACCTCATGACTCGAGACAGTTGGCCTCGCAAGCAAACTGAGATACAATTTTTCTGCTACCACGACACACGTGTACAAAAAGGGAACTCAAAGGCAATCTTTCTACATATACCTCAAATATACTGATACTGATAGAGACTTGAGTCCCTCGCCCTCAAAACAATCTTTAGGAGCTCTTTGACCGGGTACTTTAAGGGGAAAAAAGTAGTTAGCGTTTTCAATGTTACCACGTACAAAGTTTAAATGCCCGAGAAAAGTACGGAGGCATTTAGTTACTGGTACACTATGTGAAGAGGATACTACGACAGAAATATTAAACTCTCTTTATTGAAGAAGGCAGAATTAGTCAAGAATGAAATAATAGACAGAAATACGTCGGCCCCAAGCATATATCTTCGGACGCTAGCTTATTTAAATCTTCATCCAGATGGTTCCAAGGACGATTGAGCTAAGTTGCTAATACATGAACCACTGCTTTCCGATTCTAGTCTAAACACGGGATACGCAAAATGGCTTTCTATCCATGCAAAGCACAATTTTCAAATGTTTATGACTAAAGTAACTGAATAGTTTAGATATAACATGTAAGCTCGTTGCTATGGTTTAAAAACTGCACACTATGCGCATCGTCCCTCTAAAACTAAAGCACAGGCAATCCTTATCAGAATTCCTGGTGATCTGAGAATGGTCAAGAGGTAGGGGTCACGTTAACTCACTAATAAGAGTCCGGTTACATACATATAAAATATATAAAAGAAAGCACCAGAATCGACACTAGCAACAACGATATAACATACCTTTGACCAACCTATATAGAACGCCAGTTGAAGGAGTCCGAAAACTGGGACGTAAACATTTATGTTATGACCTATGTAATTTTGTGTTGCATTCAAAGGCTGCCAAGCGAAAATCGAAAGTCCAAAGTAAGAGTAGATGATGATCAGTGATATCTAGATGTGTATAGAAAAGTTGTTTCAAAATGCTTTCATTGGAGAGATTAGGTGTGTCTTATCTTGAGCTAATCCCTCTTAAATCAGATTTGGTAAGATATTGTCAAATAACCCGCTTTTTGCTAAAAACGTAAATACAACACATCAAATATAAATTCAACTGAGTAAGTGTGTAGTATTAGTCTATTCGTATGATGATGTGGGCGTTTGTTTAAATGTGCAAAATATCTCAAACAACCGTTTTACTAAAGACAGTTCGAGCAGATGAGTGCAAAGAGTAGAGGGATATAAGACTGCTGGAAGGAAAGCCGCATTTGCCTTCTGTTGGCGATTCTTACCAGACTCAAACACCTGACGCTTAGGCTACCTGTGGCCCTAGGCTAC